GTTGCAACCAGCGCCGAGCCTAAATGTCTACGCAGGTCCCGGACATCCCCCAGCCGGGCCTCTGTCATTCCCAACGCGGCTCTGGAGACACCAGCTCGCTGACCCTAAAATCCTCACAAGGCGCACGCAAAGGCCCTCTAGTGCCGGTTAGTTGGTCCTTTCGCAGTGGCCTCCAGCGTGCCAGAGGATCGTCGACCCTGCCAGGGACGGTGCTCGAAGAGAACGCAGAAGCATGCTCGAACTCAGCATGCACAAAGCCTGGCTCTGGTCTGCCGCAGGCACTGGCCCTCAGGGCAACTGCCTGTGCCACTACCACTCCGCAGGGTCCGCGAATTCCCTCTTTGAGCCCAGGCAAGCGAGCAGCGAGCAACGAGGAGCGGGAGTGGATGGGAGTGAGAGCCTGGGGGGTTTTTGTTTGCCCCTTTTGTTTGTGTGTGTGTGTGGAGTGAGGCCAAGCTCCGGAGGCACGGCCGATGCGAGAAACGAAGTTGAACACTTCTTCTGCAGTAGCAGCCTGAGCACGATGAAGGCATCGATGCTCGATCGGTGGCTCGGCATACATTGCCGGCCTAAACAGTGTCAAGGGCTTGGCACAAAACGTGTCTTGGAGGCACCTTTTTCTCTGACGAGTGCCGACGTGCCAGTTAAAGAAGTCAGCACGCGCCTCTCGGGTCTGAGAGCCTGAGCTACCACTGCACTGGCTTTGCAAGGTGCTGCGCCTTGCAAAAAACTGTCTTCAGTGTCCTTGTGACTTTCACTTGGCAGCCACTTGCAAGCAATGTTGGAAGAATGAAATGATTGTTCGAGCCAGCTCGAATGTCGTCATCACAACCGGCAGAAGAGTCTCCGGCACGCACAGAAAAGACCACCGACACAAAAAAGAAGCAAATGGGCATGTAAGCATAACTTCAGCTTCCTGGGTGGAGGGGATGTGCATTGGACATGATTTGTGCATCAACGCAGAGTTCATCCGCCGTCTGTTTCGCAGTGCCTCCGAGACTCTTCTGCTCTTCTTCCTGTTGCATGCCTGGCCAGGTCCCTTCTGTCCACAAGGCATAGGTTGTGAACCCTGGAGAGACCTCTTCTGGACTGTAGGACGGACTCGAAGATCGTAAAGACTCTGGGCCTACGTATAGCCTTGCTGTGTCTGCACAGTCCAGTCCTCCGCCTAGCATGTGCTCATGTCCCGCTAGAAGAGAGCTTGTACTGACAGCTCACCAGTTTCGATGACGCGGGTGCTCTTTGCACCCTTCACCTCACGCGTCATCGGGACGATTTCCATCGGAAGCCATTCGTAGGCGCAGATCCAGAAGAGGCCTGGCGGGTGGAGTCTGTCGACCTGTCTGCCGTTTTCGGTGCCAGGCAGGATGCCATCTTACATGAGAGACCATGACAGTAGACGATGCAAGCAAAGTAAAGGCAGTCCTCAAAGCTGTTCTTAGTTGCCTGCTTGCATTGTAGCCGCTGAGCGGGCTAGAGTTGTCTACTTGAACACTCTGCTGCCCAGTGTTGACCCTGGCTCCCCTCCTTGGTCGGCCCGAGTGACATGGAGTTCAGGTTTATGCCTCGGTTCTCCTCGTCACAAGTCTTCCATTCTGCGGGGCTACCGGGCTTCTGCCGATGCCACTGTCCATGACGCTCATGCCCAAAGCAATCTCCTGCGAGACGGACTTTGGGACCGGTGGCGCAACCAGCTTTTTGTAGCCTCGGTCGGTGGCATCATAGTCATCATAAGCTCTCTCTCTCTCCGAGAGCCCTAAGAAGTCTAACCAGGAAGCTGTTGCTCGCAGCGCACATGGAGTCGGAGTAGAGAACGCCATTTCCCAACTCTTGGGCTACTGAACGCTCCTGAGCGCTTGCTGCCGATTTGTCCTTAGATGCCAGCGGTGCTCGCACCAAGCCGCCGAACACATTCAAACGCACGCAGCCAAAGAGTCGTTGGAGGACCAGGCCTCACGAGAACACAAGGAATGGATGCAGTGATTGCTTCGCTCTCTATCGCACCCTCTGCCGACCCCTTTGCCTCATTCAGGTGCTGTAGAACTTCCAAAACCTCGCGGGCACCCTCGTAGCCTGTGTATCTGTGCTCCTGACCATAACATGCTGCATTTTGCAGTGCCTCGCTCCCTCATGCTCCACCAGGCTCTTGCCAGTTGAAGCAAGAATCCTTGTAGGGATGCTGGAGGCACCACCAGTTCAGGATCATGTTCCTCCCTATCGAGCCTCCGGGAAGGTGCACACCATGCTCATCTGCAAAGCCCAAACCGAAACTGCAAGCCTTGAACGGAGTGCCACCAGAAGATTGGAAGGTAAAACCTGGAACGTGATCGCGGTATCGTCCACTCTTGCGGAAACTCCGACCCTGACTGTTCACATGGAAAAGGCCGGTCAGCGGAATGGGCATGGCTGGGTGCATTGCAAGCGGCAGGTCTCCAGCTTTCAGGTGGACCTTCTGGGGCTGTGCCTTGCGCCAGCTTAATCGCAGAGACAACCGGCTGCAGATGGCAAAGTCAAAGAGTCAGGCTCGTGTCTTCTGACACATCCCTGCTTCGTGTTGCCGCGCGACATACTTGTAGTTGCCCCAGTTCTTGTCAACCTGCACACACCGGTGATTCGCAGGCATGTGTCGTGTTTCACGTTTTGAAAAATCTATTGCCCGCAGCAGGGAGTAGAGCAAGCGATCCCACGGCTGGCCTCCTCCGGCACATGGTTCGGATCGATGAAGGGTGGTACTAGTGAGTTGAGGAACTTCTTCACTGTTGTGTGCATACCTTGCAATGCATCAACGTCGTAGCCCCTACCCCCTCATATCCCTGCATGGAATGTGTGCGGCGAGGGGAGGCTTCGGCTGGGCTACCTCAGCACTTCGGATGCTAAGCTCAAGCAAGGCGCAGGCTGCATCACAAGGTGGGTAGATGTCCATGAACTTCTCACCCATCACAACCATTAACAGATTCTCCGATGGATCGGAATGGATGCAGGTGGTGTTCCCACCACAGCCGAAATAGGTGTGCACTCCCTTGTTGTTTTCCCCAAAGCAAGTGCCGAATTTTCGCCAGGGGGAATTCGGAGAGTTGTTAATGTCCTGCCACGGCATCGACAGTGGCTGTATCAGGACATGCGGTCTGCGCTTTTGCAGCCTCTAACGCCTGCAATCCCAAACACGTCCTATTTCAACAGACAATACCTTCCCTTAAATTTGAGATGTCCGCTGGCATCCTCAAAAAGCTCTGGCAGGTCTGTGTGCAGTGGCAGCTTCCCCATGTACCAGGAGATGCAGGTCTCGTGCTCTTCGGCAACTTCTACCAAATCCAAATAATCCTGAGCGTGTCTGTAGCAGGAGACCCTTCCTCTAATCACCAAAACTCGCGTGAAAAGAAACCTCAATTCTGGGAACTGCTGCAGGCGGCCGCTCATACATCGCAAGCAGAAACAGGCGCTTTTGGCGTGGGGTCGCAACTCCGGCAAGAGTCCAAAGTGGCGGAAAGGAAAAAAAACTACTGAGAGGCCAGAGGGAGGGGAGAAATGAGAAAGAGAGCAGCAAGAAAAGACAGAGACAGAGAGTTGAAACAGGGGAGAGGGAGAGAAACGAGCTGGAGACAGAGAGTGAGTGAGTGAGTGTGGGAGAGAGCGAGATGAGAGGGCGATGGGAGGGCGGGGGGGACCACAGTAAGTGGATTCGAACTGGATTTGCCGCACAGTTTCCGACACAGAGATTTCAATCGTGGGGTCGTTGAGGAACAGCTGTCGCCCCTTGTTGTCCCAGCAAGAATCGCCCTTGACCTTGACATAGCGATGGCCACATCGAGCTCGCATGTAATCGAAATCCTGCTCAGAGACGATCCTACAAGGCATGGGTCACTGCAAGAGTCCAAAGTCTCATCCGAGACTGCACAGCCAGATTTGCTAGGATTCCGTCGGGTGAATTCCAAAGTTCGACATGTTCTGCTTTAGTCTTCTGGGCCACTCCTAACGTCGTAGCTATGGCTGGCTCATGGGTCCGCGAAGTCGGTGGCCGGAGGGAAGTCTTTGGGATTGCATGCGCCCTCGATGATGACAGGCTGGTTTCGCAGTACCTTTGGTGCAATCTCCGATGGTCCATAGTGTTCAGAACACCCGCCTTGTCACAAAGTGCAGGTCTCGTGCAATCAAGCAGCAAACTCCCAGACCTGCACACCGGCTTCATGACGCAAAGAATGCTTGCCAGTATCTCTCTCTAGTTGGAGCGCCCCGTGAAGTACAAATTTACAAATTCATCCCACGAATGGGCACGATCACAACCGTCACAACCAACCCTGCCTGGGCGGCTGTGGGGTTCTTGAGTCGCGCCACAGGCGGCGGCTCCGTGCTGATGATGTGCTGAGGTGCCAGCCCTAGCCTTCCATGTTCACAGTCGGAAATCCCTCTCAGTAAGTGTACTCTTACTTAGTGACTTAGTGTTAGTTTACTGATGTTTACTGCTTACGCTTCTGGAGATCACTGGGCTGCGGTTCCGGTTGCCGTATTTTCTTTCTAGCTAGGACTCGGCACATGCTGGACTTCGCAAGAACTCTTCTGCCAGGGCTCTTCTCGTATGCCGCCCAAGTGCGCAACAATCCTTGGGCTTGCAAACACACGCGCATGGCTTCGGATTCGGATGCTCCTGATTTGAGCCGGAGTTGCCGCAAGTCAGGCCACCCGGAGGGTTCCGCTCCTCCTTGAGGCGCCGAGCCGCCATCAAACCGCGAGCCCGTGCCTCTCAATCAAAGCCGAAGCCAAGGAAAAACACCAAGGCTGAACCCACCAGAAAATGGACGTTTGAAGCAATATCACTGTCAAAGCTTTTGTGCTGAGCTGTGGACTGCTTTCTCCTCGGTTGCACAGCGGAGGCTGCACCGTGAACACAGCTTCATCTTCAGACCTCTTGACATCACATCGTGTTCGCAGACCTTCTCAGTATGGGTTCCTTACGTTTCTCGGTCCAAGTGGCAAGTGGGGTCTCACAGCGAAGATTCAGGAAGAATTCTTCTATCTCTGTGCCGCTGCTGTCCTCAGCTGCGTTCGAAAGACTCTGCGACTGTGCCAGACACAGCTGAAGATATTCGCCTGAACTTGATCCCAGTCTCTCCAGCAGCTCCATATATACAATTCAAGAAATCCTCATGGAAGAATCACCAGGTCCAAGAGTGCACCCCCGTGGTGATAAAGCTTCAACAGATTTCAGAGGCTTGCACGAAGCTACGACATGAGATTCACGATTTCTGCAGGCCTCCGCTTTCACCTCCTGGATGATGTTCTGCAGAGGGCTCATGCCAATCAGCATCAGCGCCTCATCAGCCAGGCATCCTTGGCAAACAAACATGGCGGTGAAATCCACTGAAGGTTTACGTCTTCGTCTTGCCTGGGTTATCCTACCACTAGTTGGACAGCAGGCTGAAAGCTCACATCTTAGCCCAGCATCTGACCTCGATGTCACCTTCGGTGATTCGTCTCTGCACAGAGTTTTGGATGCGCTGTAGCCCTTCCGTCGTGCCAGGCAGCCCGTAGGCCTCGGCAATGTCCTGAGTTCTATTCTTGCCACCGCTCTTCTGCGGAAGACGCAGGAAGGCCGACAGTCAAAAAGGAAAGACACGACGACGACTGCGACGAGCACTTTGTGGAGTCTCGGTCTGGCAAGGCCACAAAAGTTCTCGAAGCTCAGCCATGTGATCCTGCCGCGACACTCAACGGCGTTGTTTGCTCTGCTGCAGAAGGGGCAGGGTCTGGGGGCCTCCGATGCGACACCTGCAGCACTGGCTTGAAGCTGAGCTCTTCTCTGCTTCTCCTGAGCATCGAACCACGCGGACGAAAGAACAAAGCAACTCAGTACCTCTCAGCACGGTGGAAGCCTATAAAGCAACAGCGCAATAGCCTGTGGCGATTGCACGCATCAGCTTTAGATAATGTGCAGCATTGTAAGGCTGCTAGAACAGCCACCTGACAGCTTGGACATTCCGGGCCAAGCTCTTGGAATGTTGCATCCGTGTTGGTGCTGCCATCTTGGAGTCTGGTAGACATAGCACCAAATCACAGCAGATCCGATTCTGACACGAGTTACTATCGATGCCAGTCGAGTGCAGATCGAAGGAAATCGAAGAGCCAAGAGCCGACGACAACCCCCCCCTGCTACGGAACATTCCAGCGACCGGTGCAATCAAGTCTCGTAAATGTCTCTAATCTTCCTTTGAAGATCTGGGTCGCTGTATGCAGCTATCAGCTCCGCCACAATCTCTCGCAACTCATCCTTAGCCATCCGTCCATTTAATGTCCCGCTGCCAGCACTAAAGCAAACATGGTCTCTAGACGACACAACTGACAGCTAACTCATGTTGCCAAAGTGCTGGTTCAATTTCTCGTCCTGCGCCGCTGCCCGGGCTTTGCAGAAGGATCACCTAATGCTCAGTGATGCTCCCAATCTCCTCTGGCTGAAAAATGAATGTCAACATGTCAGCCGGTAACGGAAGAAGACCAGCGCGACAAGCAAGGATGAATGCAACCTCCTGCAAAAGCAGGTGCACTGGACAGAATCTTTACCACGAAGCCTTCTCATGAGTATATGCTCAACTACATTCAGATACATTCAACTATCCCTGAATCTCGTGGAAGACGAGTTGCTGCATCGCGAACAGAACTCACCTTCAGAGGCTCACAGGAAGTGCATACAGCTCATATGCCCGCTTGCAAGAAAAGCTGGACCACACCGTAACCACCAAGAGGCGGGAAGCTGTGCTGTCGAGATCATGTCCTGCATGGCTAGATATGATGGGTAGGCAGATGCTTTCAGGACAAACGCACGTCTTTGACATGTCAGGGTCACAGCAGCAGAACCTTTCTCGGATCGGTACCGTGCGACATCAAACTAACACTTGTGAGCTGCATCTTTGTCGATCGTTCAACAAAGGATTGCGAGGTGTGTTCGGCAGTTTCCTTTGTTGTTGTAGTTTGTTTCCGTTGTGTTGGACCGGTCTTGCCACTGATGCTTGCGTTCACACTTTCCGCACCCGGCACTTGACACTTTTGTCCCTGACTTTCTTCGGGCAGCTGATCCTTGGATCCTTCGCTTTTGACCATGGAAACTGGTGGTGGATGTGGCACATGCCGTCTCTATGGGTCGCACTTTAGACCACAGTTGCAGCAGTCGTAGCAGCAGCCGTCGCAGCAGTAGTAATGTCGCAGTCGTCGTTGCTATCGTCGTCGTGTGATAGCGGAGTGACAAAAAGGAGTTGTTAGTTACTGTTCACACACGCGTACATATTTCTTCGCTCGCGTCTTGGAACCGAGCAAGCAAGCAAGTAATCAGCGAATCAACCCCAAAGAGCGAGTGAGCATGTGAGGAAGCAGGCAGCAAGGCGAGCAATCAAGGCATCGCGCAAACAAGAAAGGCAGCGGTGCTGTGACTGCCAGTGTGACGACCAGAAAAACGAGTTGGATTGCTGATGCAGCAGAAACATCTACCACTGCTGCTTCTGCGGCGTAGTACTACGTACTACTGCTACTGTTACTACTACCACTACAACAACTACCACTACCACCACCACCACCACCACCACTACTCCTAGTACGACGGCGACGACGACGACGACTACTACTACTAGTACTGCTGCTAGTACTAGCGCTGGTACGGCCTAGTGTTTTTCTCGCTACTCCTAATTGGCCTAAATACTGCCACTGCTTAGACGATTGCTGCGGCTACCGCAACTAATGAGCCAGTCATGTAGATATTTAAGTAAGCAAATACACGACAAAAAATTAACAAACATATATATATATATAACTCAATCATACATTATACACATTATACACACATACATCCAGAATTAGGCATTTATTTTTACGAACTGCCGAAAACATGCTACATCAAACACCGGGCAGGTGGAGTCGCCACAGCAGAGGGTCCTCTGGTTGCTTGGCCTTGGCTTGCACTGTCTCCATTGCCCTCGATGCTTCTTCACCTTTCAGGACCAAGAGAGATGAAGCAAGATGACAAAGGCAGCAAGCTGTGTAACAGCTGCGGAAAACCCCGTCCATGTCCCAGTCCATGATGCAGCTCCAAGAGGCTCACACTTGCAATGGATCCCCAGTTCACCTGCATGTCCTTCAAGAAGGACGGGGATGCGACCATCGCCATGGCGAGTTGCCCTGTGAAAGGGTTGCCTGCGATCTAATCTCAGCAACACCGGGCTCCACACATCTCGAGCATGGCAGCTGCAGATTTCACAGGACACAACTCGCTCTTCCTCGCACATCCTGGCGCAGCGGATTCTGCGAGAAGCCCCCTCCAGTAAAGCCGAAACAAGATTTCCAAACTACACAGCGAGCCGCTTGGAGCATGTTGGGTGGAGCATCGCCCATGTTGCAGGCTGCAACCTGGCACTTGGATTTCCTGGCCGCTCATGCTCAGGCCAACTCGACATATAGTGGGCAAGTATGACGTTGAGCACTTCTACCGGTAGTCACTGAATAACTATTCTTAAGCGCAAGCTGCACCAAAGCCTATCGCGAGCGAGGGTGTGACCATGTGACTTACAATTAAGCGTATAACAATGGGTCCAGAATTTCTGTGGGAATTTTGTTGCATCTGTTGGGTTTTTTTGCTGCAGGGGGGGATCCAGCGCCTGCGACGCCAGTCTTAAGGGGGACAGCCTTTTGCCGTGCTTTTGGAACCGTCAGTTTTACTCGCGGCGAGAGCATGTTGGTTGTGCTTCGGGATACGGCAGTACTTGTGGAGGACCATGTTGGCCCATCTGTGTGAGCGGGTTGTGTCAAGAAGGAGGGGGTGCTTGTGTGGGGGCTCAACCACATTATCACTTTCCTGGATTAGGCCCAGGGTGTGGACAGGCACTCAGCATATTTCAGTATTCTGTGCAAAGTTCGGTCGATGAGCCAGGGCCCAATGCTACTTGTATGACTGCCTGCCGCAATGCCGACAAACCAAAAATACGGTCCCGACGCCCATCAGGATGTCCCCGCGAGTGGCCCACAGGCTAGCCAGGTCGTAGTAGTACTAGTCGTAGTCGCAAGAGTACTAGTGCTCAAACCTCCCAACACTTGCTTTGTCAGGAGCTGCGCTAAAGAGCGGTGTGGATCATTTGTCGCACGACGAATAAGAAGAAAAAGGTGCGCGGCCGACCCCCCCACAACGCGACGTCCCCAAAGAGGGAGCAGGAGCGGCTGCCACACCCCCCGGGCACGCGCAGACGAGGGCCGACACACCAAAAGGCACAAGCTCAGAGCCTTCCCAGCTGCCCCCGCACAGGGTCCATACCCGAAAGAGCCAGCGAGAAGCAAACACCGGCAGAAGGCGAGAAGCGGAAAGGCAAAAGCGAGGAAGCAAACAATGACAGCTCGTGCTCGGAAGTGAGGAAGCGCAGAAGCACAAGCGGACGAGACCCCCCCCAAAAAAAAACCTCAGGCGCAAAAAAATATGTTCCCACCAAAAATGGCGCTCCAATAACAATTCAATTCCAGGTGATCAGGCGACTGAATTCTCCCAGTATGCGCAGCATGGCAATGCAGAGAGGACTTGCTGAGGAGCCAAGAGCTTTTGCAAATGCAGGTCGCGGGAATGCATAGTCAGCTGCAGCCATCGCCAGGGAGCAACTGCCACACAGTCAGGTGCTGTCGCAGGCATTGCAGGCAAGGCGATAATGGACTGCTCGGTGTAGGCTCGTCTAAACAGGCTAAGTACTGCTGTGGGGTCTTTGCCCGGTGCTCCGGACTGTAGCTGCCGGAATGCACTGTAACAAGACTGCCCCGATCCATGCTGTCTACACTGTGCCTCACTCTTAGAAACGAGCCACGGACGCTCATCTTCTGTGAAGGTTCTGAAACCGACTTCATCGTAGCTTTTCTCGGGTCCAGGCTGACCACCTCAGCCCTGCAACGTCAGCTGACGGGGAACAGCAAAGACCTGGCAACGAGCCGGTTTCAGTGGGCCGAGGCAGGGTCTCTTTGATAGGTGCTTTGTAGACCACGAAGCAGAAGGCACATCGCTGGGCACACCAAAGAGAAGAAGGCGGAGCGATCTAGAGCCACCTGCATGGCAAAGCTCTGCACGAACATTTCGAAACAGTCGTAGTAATCAATGGGGAAAATCTTCACGCAGCTCTGAGGCCCGCGCAATGCCGGAGGACTTGCCTCCCGCCAGGGACTGGCCTTCGCATGCGACGATTGCTGCAGCAGATTCCGGTGAGCAGCTTGGATCCCGGCCCAGGATGGGGCTGAGAGTGTTCAGCCTGGGGTGCCGACTTCAGAGGCAACATGTCAATGTGACGAGCCACGCGTTGATGCATCATGCCGTGCGCCACGCGGTGTCAATAGTGCGGGATTTTGCTCTCTGTTGCTGAAACCTTGCAAAAAATGGCACGATAAGCGACTGTGACGCACAACCGTCCTTTCCGAGCATGCTGAGCACGAGTCATTGCTCGTAGAGCTGCACCTGAACACAAGAAAGACAGTATCTTTCGGGGCGCATGCCAGCATGTGTTTCTGGCGAAAGCCTCTAGGAGCATCTGCAGAAACTCGTCGAAGCTCAACCGGTTGGAACGATCTACATCGTAGCCTTGGCTTCAATGCGAGTTGCGACGGCTTGCACCCACACTCGCGGTGTGCCTCTCACGCACACCCTCGGGCTTCGAGCTGAGACGGATGTTGTCTACCGCGTCAGCACCTTGGCCAGGCAATGCTGCACACGTCCGCATCTGTCTGCGAGACTCGACAAATCTAACACCCAGCATCTGAGGCAACGGCTGAGGTTTAAGCCAAAGGCTGCAAGGACACTTCCTGCATACAAAGTGCCGGCGCCGACTCTCCGTGTCTATCTTCTTGAGCACAGTCAAGGGAGCACGAGCAGCTCTCGCACCCCTGTGCGTAGCCGCGCCCTGAGTCTTCCCTCTTGCTTGCTTGCTTGCTGGGCGTTTGGGGAGTGGGAGCACCCACAGCCCCTGCGCACAAGCGCTACGCCAACGTCCTTCCCTCTCTCTCTCTCTCTCCCGATCCCTGTCTCCGAATATCCTTTGAACTCTGGTCTTGATCTTCAACATCAGTAGGCACTGCACGTGGCGTCCTAAAGGGCTTGAAGCCTCTGGCTGCAACATAAGTGCTCTGCGCTTAAGCCTAAATAGGCTGAAAGATATATGTTACAGTCGTCATTTTCCGGGCTATGACGAGCGAGATGGGTCGGCGCCAGAGAGCGACTCTGCAAGCATCTCTCTACCAGACACTGCGTCCTGACTTAGAGGTTAAGAGTTGGCCCAACCCCTCCCCGGACGCACCAAGGTGCTCTGCGCCGAGGCTGCCCATCCTAGCAGAGCAACAGCAGGTCCACAACATAGCTGCTCTGGCACTCTGCTACAGCGTACCTGTTGAAGTCAAATCTGAGAAAAGTGATATAGCTGTCCTGCCACTGGTGCATCTACAGACACCCACAACCGACAAGGTTGCACAGCGCTGCCTTCAGATACTGGACCAGATGGAGGAACTCCTGGTAAGACAAACGCTTCCTGAAGCCGCAAATTGCGCGTCTCATGCTCCATATGCCATGCGAGGGAACCGAGTTTGGGCCCACGCGCAAAGCGCTCGCCTGCCTGAGAAGGCAAGCTCGAAATTTCTGTCGCCAACTGGACATGGCTGCCATTCCGACTGCATCAGGCCTGGCAGGTCCCGAACTTGGCGATCAGCCAGCGGCAAGTGTTTAAGCCTGTGCTTAAGGCTGAATTGCGAACAAACCAAAGACAGCGGTGCAGACTCAGGCTGCAACTTTAAAGTGCTTGCTGTGCTCAGGTTTTGCTGCTACCAAACCCTACTCCGGCAAGTGAAGAAGTCCATGCTGAGTGGTGAAATGAGCGGTGGAATCATGCAATCTTGAAGCTGAGCAGTTCATTGACTACCGTCCCACTACGAGACAGGAATCAAGCTGTGCATCTGGCAGAACGGCCGAAGCGTCTGGATAGAGCCATTGATGACCTGCTAGAAAAAACACAGTTCAAGCGGGTATCTGCGCAGACTTTGCGACTATGGCCTGGTAGATCACTTGCACGCTGCCGAGCATTTGAGAGAGCCTAGGGTGCTGCAAGTGTGCCGATGTGCGGTGTGGTGGCCGGTCGCGACCGCCCGAGTACCCGCACTCCTCTGCCGCGATCGTGGTGCTGAAGCGGTCTTGCAACTTCCACATCTCGTGCCTGAGCTCCAACAGCCAACACCGACGACTTGACTTTGGTAGCACCCCAGTCTCCAGCCACTCCGCAGTCATCTGGATGAACTCGTCGAACTCGATGCCTCCGGAGTTGTCACTGTCGAAGCTCTTGCCTGACACGGCAATCAGTCCGGACGAAAGCTCGGCCAGCTCCATGCATGAAAAGACAGCTCAAGCGGTGCAGAGAGCACACGTCTGCCTATCTGCTGAATCAATGTCTCAGGCAAGTTGATCCTGGCCTCAGCAGGCAGAAAGCAGGAAGGACGGCAACAAGAAATGGAACCCCCCCTCGTGCTGATCGGTTCTGCTCACAGTCATGAGATGTGTCCGTAGCTGAGATGTCAGCCCTCCAAAAGGCATTGCAGAGCTCTGGCAATTGGAGAGACCCAGCACCCTGCAAGAAAACAACTTCTGCCAACACTAAACGTGCAATGCATGGAACAAACAGGGGCTTATGCCTTTGTATACATATATATATGTATATATATATATCTATCTGTGTGTGTGTGACGGCGCTCGACTTGTGGAGCTGGTGGCGAGGACTGCAGTGCAAGTGGTGTGGGTGGTGTTGATTGCCACATCTCAAAGCCATGCCATCATGGCATTCGAGGACGAAACACTACGCCATTGGCGCTCTGGCGACGAGTGACAAGTTTAAAACCAGTAGTTCTCAGTACTCAGGACCGATTAGGAGAAAAGCCGCCTTGTTGTCCAGGCTGCAAAACGCGGTCTTCATCTCCTGGAGATTGGCGCCGAACAGTCTCCAGTCCACGACAAGTAGCTCCAACATGCGAGCCAGCGCAAACCTTCAGGAAAACCATCATGCTGCAGAACTGCTCGAAGTTCCTGGGCACAGCAGGGCTCAACCAAGCCCACGATGCCTAGGAGCTTTCAGGAATTTTCAGGGGCTCCCACGGAAGCACTTCTGGCTCACCCGTCCCCTCCCCGAAATCAAACTTTGATGCTGTCTTCAGTCTTCCACACTCTTCTAGAGCTGGGCGGCAAAAACAAGCTGCCCTGACCGAAGCGGATAATGAGCCGCTCGCACCTTGGCAAAATGCGGAGGCGCACCTCTATAGCACTCTTAGACTTTTTCTGCCTCCCACCTAGCTAGGACGAAGCCCGCATTGCAGGGTGCAGTCTCTGACTTAGACTCGAGGCTTCCTCATCACAGGAACGGGTCGGACACTTCCAACACTTCTGCGGCCGGCACGTGCTGAGGAGGAACGGCCTGTGGCGGCCAAACCTGGACTGTCAAAGCGGCAAACTGTGACATGTCATAAGGTTGCGTTGCCTTTGATGGGAGGTCAAGGGCTTCAGGGCCAGTTCCTGCTCATTGGATTCGGATCGAACTTTACTTGAGATACCTGAGGAAATGACCTGACAGATGGTAATGCCTGCACGTTCCCGGAGCGCATGTGACAGCGCAGCCGAAACATGCTATGTAACAGCAGCCGAAACATGCAGCAGGCAGAAAATGCAAATGCATCCATGCGTCATTGCGCATCCGTTTTTGTGCTCAATGCGTACTACAAGCGATACGAGATCATGTCCGAGGTCATCTGAATCTTGTTCTATAATTAATAATACAGCAGCCGTTTCACAGGTTTATACATGCTGCATAAAGCAGCCATAGGAAGCAAACCACAAAAGCCGAACGAGACCGAGATATCTTCACGGGAGCAGACAAAACACGAACACAAGCAATCCTCAAACCAACAGCTCACCTACAGTGCGCACAACACAATTAGAAAATGTTCATCGCAAATAGAGCTTGCTTTTGAAAGAAAGGCTAGGCGCCCGGCATGGAAGCATAGAAAATGCCTTGTGTGTTCATGCTCGACCTGAATTCAGTCGGCAATTGCAATTTGTGGCAGCTGTAGCCAAGGCGCAACCGTCTTGCATCAGGGCCCGGCAGGCCAGTGGTCCCAATGATGGTGCCCAAGGGCTCTAACGATTTCTTTATTTCTTCCAACCTGGGTGCCAACATCAAAGGTCTGTTACTTGTAGTAACGACAAAGGCCAAGCAGTGGGGCCCCTGCACCTGCAAGAGCTGATTTGGAGCAATCCGTGCCGCTCCCTGTGTCTGCATGTCCTCGGCAGCTGCAAGTCGCAATCGTTTGCAAGCGAAGCATTGGCGATGTTCGCAACCAATAAACTGCATCGTCACAGGCTCGAAGGAACTGCTGAGGCGAATGCCCATGCAGCAATGTAAAAGTCCTCGGCTAGTGTCGACATCGGTTGCACCAATGCCGGACTGGACAGCCAATCACCACTTTGCACTTTGCACTTTGCCCGTTCGAGTCAGAGACTACGGTCCTATAAGGACATGGGTGACAGGTGGGATCTAATTAAGGTACATCATCTTTACAGAATTGGATATAGCGGTGTCGTAGAGCCAATCACCAATGGTTGGACAAAAAATGGCCTAGCGCTTCTAGGCACAGTCAACCCACGACGATGCACACATGACCGCAATACTGAAGGCAATGCATGTGCATACTGGTGCATACATACACACCCACACATATGCACATATGCATGCACGAACATCGTCTACATATCCACGGATAATTGCGTAGCACGATACACGCAACGTAACCCAGTCGACCACAGGTGTGCAGCATGGGCTCCCATTCTAGTCGCATCTGCACAAACTCGTCAAACTCAAGGCTGCCGTCTTTGTCACTGTCAAAGCTTTGGCCAACCTTGCATCCATGGAAAAAGCCCTCTCCTTTTGCTGACGTCGCAAGCTTCAAGCAGCTTCATGATGTCACACTGTCCGCGTGTCCGCAGCAAACTTGTCATATTTCCGTCCGTGCTTCGCAACACGTGCCTCTGCAATAATCGCAGCTTCCAGATTCACTCCTGACTAGTCGGGGACTGAGAACTGAACAGAACGAACATATCGATTCATGATTCATGATCCAAAAGAGCGCTGCATTGCTGGCAAGAGTGAACTTGATCTGATCTGCTACCTTCCAGTCCTGACAATTGAAATGCCCGTCGAAGCTCTCCGAACCTGAGCACCACGCAAGGGGTTATCTGGATAATTCATGCTTTAGCACGAAGCTCACAAGCAATCTGGGTCAACTTCTACAAGGACAAGCGAGCTCGACACTCGATGGCGCCACTACGGTCTGCATCAACCTGCTGGTAGCCAGCTTCAAGATGGGCACTGGACATGCTTGACGAGTTGCGAAAGTCGATGGCGTGCCGAGCTCGTAAGTCGTAAGTTTGTAAGTGCCTGGAGGAAGATCGCCTTCAGGTTGGCCCTGGGTCACGCAGAAAGCCAAAAAGCGGCCAGCCGTGTGATTGCACTGCATCGCTGGAGCGCTGAGGCAAGGTCAGATAGTCCATGAGCTCGCACCACTGGTTCAGCACCAACCTGCCAGCTCGAAAAAAATCGAACCTCGTCGACTGCTAGCTGAAACTGCCCACTTGAAGCCTCTGGTTGTATGGACACCTTAATCTACAGCATCTTCCGATTTAATCTGCGATGCACCGTCTCTGGCTGACAGAATCTCCGCCTGTTCTGGCTTCCAAATCTGGCCATCAACCAGCAGCATGTGGAAACCTTCCATATCAGGGGGTGCTTCTCCGTTTCTGACGGTGTGGGATATGGTAAGCCTAGCCTGAAAGCTCCTGTGCAGCAAGCTGTGCTGCGTTCCAGCCTGACCAGTCGCCGGAACCATTCTTGCTTCACTCGGCCGTTTAACCGACTAGCACGAGATTCCTGCTGAAATCCATCTGCAGGCGGCCAGTTACGGCAGCTCGTTCCAGAAGTGACATAAACTTGCAGGAATACCTGCCTCAACGGTCAGTTTCACGAAGTTCAAGGCATTGGAAAGCCTGGCAGTCTTTGAACCGCCCATCCAGAAAAGGTGCCGAGACTGTAGGCAATGTAGGAATCATGCAGAATTCTCAACCGTCATCACACTTAACATGCTATGGCGGCCCCTGCACATCGATAAAGCCCTGCGCGCCAGCAAACTTGGCGAACCTCAACGGCCCGAGCTGCAGCCCGGCAGGAAACGCCAACGTGGATTTTCACCCCCTGTGAGTTTTAAGGAACTGAGCTGCAAGCGCTTCCCTGAACTCCGGATTGGACAGGCGGAATTGCTTTGCCGCCGGATCCTCCGTGAACTGCGAGTGTCATCTGCTCGACAGTTCGAAAGCTGTCTCGCCTGGTCTGCGTCACTGAACAAACCGCGCTTCTTACTTGGCGACAGCGGAGACAGAGAAGGCGAGCCTCGGGATAGCGGGCTTGGCCTGTACTCAATAACGCTTGCACACAGTGTCCCGTCTTCGGCTTCGTCGTGAGGCACCCACTGTAGGGTGATCCTTGCTGCATGCGTCCTTGTGCACATCAAACCTGGGCACTTGTTGACCATGCTGTCTCAACAGGAATGCTGATGTTCGACGCCTGGCAGCTGCAAACGGCGCCCCGAGGGATGGCAAAGAGCTGGAGTTCAAATATGCGGGGCAGTGGCGGAACGGCCCAAGCTGCGCGCAACTGCACAACGGAAGCGTGGCAGCACGAAACCAGCAGAAGTAGAACCTCTCGATCCTGCGTTGATCTTCGTTGCTGCCCTTGTCACGGCCAGAGTCACGCGTCTACTGGCACAGCGGGCTTTGGCCTTTGACCATTGGCCGCTTGGCCGCTGCCACGAAAGGCTGGGAGGGCAACGCCTCATTTATGCAAAGGGCTCCTGTCATGGAGCGGGCGCTAAAGGCATGAAACATACTACGCGAACCACTCAACGTGCCCATGTTGTTTGGCTGCGTGCTCTTTCAGCACTCTGCCAGTGTGCATTAACGGTAAATCCGAGAGCAGATTCTGATATTACAGAGTCCGCCTCCGGTGCACATCACTTTGGAGTTGAAGGTGGCCTCAACCAGAATCGCAGTCATTGAAATTCGGCGGGGCTGGGGTGTCGCTGCTGCGGTACGTTGCGAGGGTTTACAGCCGTTGTGGTTTGAAGTCGGTCGGGGTTCAACCATCGGGACTTCAAGCAGTTTGGCACATCAAGCTCTGACTGCGCGGCGCTGCTGCGCCACTCTCATGACTCCAGGGTACCTGCGTCCAATCCTTTACTCACTCGGAGGTGGGAAATCAGAAGCAAGGAAAGGCGCCTGAGGACCTTCCCGAAAGCTGGAAGCAGAAGCGTCCTCATAAACGACTCCAGGTCTACAATATGGCCTCGCTTGTCCTGCTCCCGCTTGAGGCATCGGCTGAGAAGCGGGAGCTCGCCCGGCGGAGACTCTGTCGACCACGGCCTCAGAAAAAATCCTGCATCTGGCTCTGGCTGCGTGTTCGGCAAGCAGCGTCGCGATGACCCTCGGTCCCGCACGAGCCGTAATGCTCGCTTCCTCCTTCCGAGGCCATGTAACAACCAGGAAAAAACAAGGAACCAAGCAAGCAGCTCCTGTTGAAGCTTGCGGCGCTGGACGATCATTGCATGTATCTGGTCCTCAGCTGCCAGGCGTGGGCCCACATCAATCTCGAGCGAGCCCCCTACGCACCAGTCTAAACAGTCTGGGGCCATGGCGCGGTAGTCTGAAGCCTACGGGATTGGCCACACAATGCACGCGGGGCAATGCCATTCATGTTACCTTCTCAAGACCAGAAACGGTCGCGCCACAAGGCGTTGCAACGCTGGGTCATACAGCACATGTGAGTGCGGTAAGGGCAACTCAACTGAACAGGCTGGCATGGGCACGAACGATGGCTAGAGGCCTTGAGCTTTGTGATGTCGCTGATTGGCATCCGGATCATCTTGTCACATCTCAGTGGAGCAGATTCAGACTCGCGTGCTCCGCAGAACCAGAACACACGGAGCACTCCGACAAACGTTGATCCAAACCAGTACCACACACGACGCACTTTTTCTAAGCGCTGTATCACGCCGTTCGGCGACGAAACAGGCTAGCCGGTGCCTGGGCGCATTCTGCACCGGGCCCGCTCTCAAACTGCACGAACCATGCCTGATCTGCGGCGAGTGACCAGCATGCCGAGATCACGCCGTTCACCGCCGGCCCCGTGCCATAACCTTTGGATAGAGCCGCCTGACCCGCCATGTTGTCGATGAATGCTACGATCGACTGCCGCAGGTGCGTCGCAAAGGTGACAAAGGCGGCGAGTGGGCGAAGACCTCGAGCATGTAGATGTACGCTTTCCTCCCCGAGAAGATCTTCACGAACCACTCCGGAACCACGCCGTGGTCGTAGTAGACCTCCCCATCCATTCTCCGCCCGCTGTCGTGGCGTGGGGTTGAGTCCGTCGGGCACGTGGCCCGCTTTGTGGAGCTTTTCCCCGTCGGTGAAGAAGGCCTCGGCATACAAGATGGCCACGTCCATGTGCTCCACGTCGAAGGGGATGAACCTTGGCTTGATCGTCGGCAGGATCTGGGTCATGCAGGGATCGCAAGGCCGCCGATAGACCCAGCGAGAGCTGTTCGGCGGCGGTCCACGCCGCTGTGTCATATCGCCTTGGTGGCGGCCCTGGCCACTGCGCCGAAGAGTGCCAGGAAAGCCACCCGGCCCGCCAATTTCGCCGCCTGACGAGGCGCCAAGCTGTCCTCGTTGATGGCCCGGCGACTGCACCCGCCTCGGCGTCGGGCAGAGTGTGGCTCCTCTCTCGTCGAGGTGGAAGGTGACACCCTGTACCACGTGTTCCGCCGCCGGCGGTTGTGCCTTGGACGATTTGGTGAGGAAGCCGAAAGTCCTGCAAGGACTCCGCTGCCGAGTCACCCAGGAGGTCGTCGTCGAGACCGTAAAAATCGTCGACGTGGTGGCCCGTCGCGGCGATCAGCAGTCCTCGAAGCAGCTGTTGGAGCGCGTCAGCGCCGCGATTGAAATTCCATATTGAGGCGACGGCGGGTTCCACTGCATCTGGCCCGTCCAAGCGACAGGGAGCAGGCCCGTCATGTGCGTCGTTACCTTGGCGGGGGTGGGCGGCGTCCGATCCGCCATCGCCATCTCCGCCGCCAAGGCCGACCAGGTCGGGCATCCCGGCGTCCAACGCGCAGCACCTCGCGAATGTTCTCCACGGCGACATGAATGCCACGATCTGGTACTGGGGCGGCGGGGTGTTGCGGCGGTGCCTTATACTGCTGCACGGCCTTCGTTGGCACGGCGGGAGATTCGGCGCCACCAAATGCAGACATAGCGTCGAGGAATGAAAGCTAGGGTAAAAGCTTAAGTCGTTCGGGCCAGGGTGCTAGCGGCATTCACCGTTACCGTATGTCACCATTTCAAAGTTCACCGACCTACTCAGTCTCTGTGGATCTAGACGGCTCGCAGGCTTGAATCTTGCAATCCTGAGTCCTCAACAAAGGCTCGGCTTCCTGCCAGCGACAAACAGCTGTCTCCAGCATGTCTTCCAAACTCTTCACCATCACGGTATGCAGCCATCCATACTCTGCAGGATGCTTGCGACTGGCATGCCTGCAAGTAAAACTTTTCCAGGAAGACATCTTGGAGAGCAGTCTCCGCTGAAGGCCTGCAAGTGAGGCTGGCAGAGACTGCAGGGGCTTTTACAATATCAGCACGAGAGATGTGAGGCCATCCGGCACCTTCGTTCTGGGTTGAACTTGAGCAGGTTCAGGGTCAGGGTCTTGGCCTGCAGAGACTCTAAACTTAAACGGCGTCGTGCGCAAGGAGTACATCACTTCGCCGACGCGCGTTCTCGACTCGTGCTTCTTGGCCGGCCTGTGCCGGGAGCTTCAGGAGGAACAGCACGCCAGAACTGAGTCGAACATGAAGGGACACTGCGACTCACACATCACTGATTCCCACATGGAAAAATCCTGTGCGGCGCTTGACACGAGGCCTGAAACTGTCCAATACATGAGTGTACTTATTTCCAACATTTTCCAACATTGGTAGGTCCATGCCCTGTTGAGGGGCGAGCGATGGCATCTGGCGCACATTTCCAAGATTCTCCAACTGGGCGATGTGAACCAACACCGTTGCAAATCTGCTCATACAGTCCTACAGGAGGTTTCAAGCTTCATTTGTCCATATCCCGAGAGGCCGGCCATCGTACGAGCCTGACAGGTCAATACCCTGGGCCCGAAGCAGAGATGCTCTTCCCGAGGACTGAACGTACTGGGACGTCGTGGTAATGGGCCCTGAACGTCGGGGGACAAAGACTGCACATCGGTGCTTTGGCAAATGAGCCCTCGGCGCAAATCCTGCTCGCTTGGCTTCCCAGTCCTCGGGGTCTCTCCCTTCTTGAGGTTAGGATTCATTGCTCCACTATCATGAGCTCCGCGCAGTTCGACGACCTGACGAAGTTTGGGCTATGCCGATCTTCGGAAAGGCGGCACAGCCCTCGCAGGCACCTTCTCGAGCTGGTCCATGGTAGACCTCGTGTGCCCAATCGCTGGGAGCTAACCCGTCTCAATCCTGGTCTTATCACACTCGGGAAATCGTTTGTACTGTCGGTGAGACGCGCCTTCCCCGAAGGATGGGCTTGCCCGAAACCTCCGCATCACTTCCGAAACACTCTCCGGCAAGCCCAGCCGTGACAGTGTTTCTCGGCCACGAGCCATTTCTCCAAGAATGCAGCCGACACTCCACATGTCGACCCCCTGCATGACAGCTGACGGCACTTGTTCAATCTCGTTCACATCCTTTTTCCAGCTGGGCTTTTGAGTGTTAGCTTGTTCACACCCTCCTTTCTGAGCCGTGCCCGATTCGAAGCTACCCAGCATCTTAACCTGAACCCCGTTGCACATCCCCGAAACACAGGACAGCTGACCTCCGAGTAGAGGGTGGACCCAAGTAGTAGCTCAGGTGCTCGATACCAGCCTGTGTTGCGGTCCACGGTTGCTCGAGGGTACAACACTCGAACAAGTGTGGCCAAGCCCACAGCGAGTGGCCACGTAGTCCGTCAGCAATGGCAATGCCTGCACTGCGTCCGCAGGCTCTTGACGATAAGGTAATCCGAAGCTGCCACAGAAATCAGAAACTGATGAATACTGATGAATTGATGAATTGCACTTCCCCAACCCCATGTTCTGCCCGTACAAGTTATGACTGTGAGGTAAAGACCTTGGCGCTACACGCGCCCTTTGGGCAAACGATCGGTAACGAAAGCCGGAAGTATCACTGCTTTCTATCGGAACTTCACACAACGCATGCTCTACTATCTAAAACCTATTCTATTCTAGTCAAGTCTTCAGGCTCCGCACATCTCCCATCTAGAGCCGATAGATTACGTAAACCTTTCTTGAGACGACAGTCGCATGTGTTGTGGCTCTGGCCGAGCAACAACATTGCCGAGCCGGCACTGGACGACAGACTGCTGATGAAAAGTAAAGACACTGTGACTCCTTGTTTCTCGTCCCCGGTTCTAATATGCGGCTGAACTTGGCAGGCCTCGTCAGCAGCAGCCGAGTTGCGCGGCCTAAGCCCGGAATGACCCAGACAGTCACAAATACAAGGAGTGTGACCTCCGTGGATTTGCTGCCAAAGTGCCCAGTGGCTTGGACCTCTACGGGCAAGGCCGTTCTTGCCAAGCCTCTTGCTGTCCACGGCAGCATAAAAAGGCTTAACTGTCGGCGTCGTGCAAACATTGCAATCACGAGACTTCCGTACACTCAGAAGCAAGCCAAAGTCACAAAGACGCACGTGGCAATTCCTGGGCAGTCTTGTCGCCACGCTAGGCTCAGCCATTCCTGAAGAAGCATCCTGAGGCCCTGTCGAGTTGAGCAGCACATTGGCCGGCTTGAGATCTCGGTGCAAGACCTGGCAAGACCCAGAACGTCTCTGAAGTGGCCGTGACTCCAAGAGAGTCGTAAGCTCCCGGGCTCCCCCGGAGTGGACGTACTTCAAAGCCTGGCGGGGGGCGTTCCGGGCGGCAGGCGGAACCCAAAGCCTACAGCAAGTCGGCCTTCAGAATCTGATAGGTTACATACTCCACATGGATGGGTTGCAACCTCAAGCCAAACTCGGAGCACCTCTGAGGGCAAGGAGAGTGCTGAGAATCTTGCAGGTTGGCTGCGATGGCTCGCTGGAGATCGGACCTCGCTCTTACATCTCGTGGCGAGCGTTCATCTAAACTGGACTAAGACACAGACTCCATGAAATCGAACATAACGTACAGGTCCTGCACTGCTTGCAGCCAAATGCAAGACTGCTGCTGACCACCGCTCGCTCGTGAAGGAAAGCGTGAGTTGAGTCAGGCAGGCACCACCCCGAACAGCATGATGCAGCCAGCTGGCAGTGTGGGCATCGAGCTGAAGCTCCAAACGGAGCGAGACAGGGCTTCGGCTTTCAAGTGTCTTTGCAAATTCACCTGCTTCCCACCACGTCTGCGTCCTGGCTGCTTTCTGCCTTCAGCACCTGGGCTGTGCAAACGAAGCTTACACGGGCTGAGTCACTGCTGCGGCGCCCGATGCTCGCGCTCGACGAAGTCAGGCGAGGTATACGGCGACAGACAACGAAACCAAGGTTTCTTTCGAGCCTTCAGGCAAAGCAGCCACAGCACCTTGGTTGTTTTTAGGCATCCTGCCGATGGCGAGCGAGTGATCTTAAACTCTTGAACGCCAAGCTGCTGCCCCACTGCTTTAAATTCAAATCCTATTGAAACAGGCAGCCTCCATGGCCATGACAGAAAGGGGAATTTCCAAAAATAGGAGGGGCTCATACACAAGGACTTCCTAAATGCTGTTGCTTGAGGCCCCTTGCTGTCTTTTGGAGAATGACCCAATACTACTCCTACGTTGGATTTGTCAAAGCTCCAACGACTAGACTGTACTTGGACGTCAGCTACCTTGCAGTATCTGTGCCCTGCAATCAAAACTGACGAGCACCAAAATCCGTGCATACTGCAACTGTGTGTCGATGCAGTGCATTCACGATTCACTGAAAACAATTTTGAGATGAGGGTACCAGGCATTTAGTGGTAACCTGCGCATAAACACATACCAGAGTCGCGAGGTTTGAGATCTCATGGCACCGAGTCGAACTCACCACGGGCCGAAGCGTTGCTGCCTGGGGCGGGCTGCCTTTGTGGAGGCCTGGAGAGCCTTCTCGCCCTGGGATTTCAATGCCGCTTGGGCCGCAGCCAGGCGGGCAATTGGAACGCGGAAGGGCGAGCAAGAGACGTAGTCCAACCCTGTCTTCTCGCAGAACTCGATCGACGCCGGATCGCCTCCATGCTCTCCGCAGATGCCCATCTTCATGCCCGAACG